GAAGGAGGAGCGGGGGGGTGCTTGCGGCGGGCCCAGCCGTGTGAGCCCCTCTGTCTCAGGCATTGGACAGCTGGCGGTGGCAGCTGGGAAGGAGGAGCGGGGGGGTGCTCGCGGCGGGCCCAGCCGTGTGAGCCCCCCTGTGGCTAAAATGGGGACAGTGGTGCGGGCGGGCGCTGTTGGCGCTGGGGCGGCTAGCGCTGGAGGGGAGCGCGCTGGCGCTGCTGGCGCTGGGGCGACTGGCGCTGGAGGGGAGCGCGCTGGCGCTGCTGGCGCTGGGGCGGCTGGAGCTGGAGGGGAGCGCGCTGGCGCTGCTGTCGTCGGGGCGACCAACGGCAGGGCGACAGGGGCGCGCGCTGGTGATGCTGAGGCAGGGCCCCCTTCAGGGAAGTGAGATGTCCAGTGTGGGGGCGCTGGGGGCGGCTGCCAGCGCTGCGGGGGTGGAGCTGCCGCAGGGGAGCAAGATGGCGTCAGGCTGGGTGGTGGGTTCGCAGCTGGAGGAGGGCGAAAAGGAGCACGCGGCGGGCGTGGTGGAGAAAAACAGGGACCTGTTTGCGTTTAGCCTAGAGGAGATAGGGGAGTTCAGGTTGTTTGAGGTCCAGCTGGACTTGAAAACGGATCAACCTATCTTTGAGAGGCCGCGCAAGCACAGCGCGAAAACATGGGAGCTGGTGGATGAGCGGTGCCGGGAGCTGGAACGGGCAGGGATCATTGAGGAGTGTGACTCCGACATCGCAGCCAATTCAGTGATGGCAGCCAAGAAGGATCCCGAGGGGAATTGGAAGCTCTCCCGGTTCTGCACGGATCTGCGCCGGGTGAATGAGCAGACAGCGCAGGATCGGTACCCGATGCCGCTGCCTGAGGAGGTGTTGGAGGGGCTGTGCCATGCCAAGTTCTACTCCACCATTGACATACGGGGCGCGTTTCACCAGCTGGTGGTGCGGAAGGAGGACCGGCGGAAGTTGGCATTCTGGTCCAGCAGCAAACTGTATTGCTGGAAGCGGTGTCCGTTTGGGGCAAGGAACGCGAGCGCGTGGTTTCAGCGGGCGATTGACAGGACGCTCAGGGGGTTGGAGGGGTTTGCGCGCAGCTTCATAGACGACCTGCTGGTGGCGGGGGGCGAGACGCTGGAAGAGCACATGGAGTTGGTGCAGAGGGTGTTCGACCGGCTGCGGGAGGTGGGGCTTAAGTGCCACCCGGAGAAGTGTTGTTTCGGGGCGGATTCGGTGGAATACTTGGGCATGTGGTTGAGACCGGGGGTGGTGTCTCCGCAGGTGGCCAAGGTGGCGGCCATTGCTTCGTTGCCGCGACCCACCGACGTGACCTCAGTGAAGGCATTCTCAGGGGTGGTAAATTACTACCGCCAGTTCATCCCCGACTGCAGCCGGCTGCCGGCCCCGCTGAATGCGTTGACCAAGAAGGGGGCCCCCTGGCGCTGGGGAGAGGAAGAGGAGCAGGCGTTCACAGCGCTGAAGCAGGCGCTGCAGGGGAGTCCGGTGCTGGTCTTGCCAAAGAGGGGGCGGCCTTTCAAGGTGCGCTGTGACTGGAGCAAGAAGGGCCTAGGGGGGGTTCTGCTTCAGCAGGATACGGACGGAGCTGAGCGGGTGGTGGCGTTTGGGAGCCGCAGCTGCAATGAGGCGGAGGCGCGGTACAGTAGCTTCGAGGGGGAGCTCTTAGCTGCAGTGTACTTTGTGCGGCTCTGAAGGCAGTACCTGTATGGTGAGCGCTTTCAGCTGGAAAGCGATCATCAGCCGCTCAAGTGGATTTTGACAAATTCCAAGCTCACGGGGAAGTTGGCGCGGTGGGCGCTCATGCTCAGTGAGTTCGATTTTGAAGTCAAGCACAAGCCGGGGGTTGACAACGAGATGGACTATCTGAGTAGGTTCCCCCAGCAGAGCAGCGCGGACTGGGCTGGGGTGAGGCAGGAGGGCGACTTGGAGGAGGCGGGGGCGCTCGCGTGGTCGGCGGCGGCGTGCCTGTCCTGGCAGCCTGGTGAGCAGCCGGAAGGGGAGCAGGGACTGGGGCCAGGAACAGGGGTGCAGCCGCCAGTAGATGTGTGGGAGGATCAGGGGCTGTTGGCGGTGCTGCGGGGTGAGGGGCTGCCTGCAGGGTGCAGCCCGCGGGAGTGGGACAGACTGCATCACCGGGCCCGTGGGTACGAGTGGCGGCAGGACCACTTGGTCAGGAGGTTAGCCAGCGGGGAGGCGAGGGTGGTTCCGCGGCCAGCGGTGCGCGCGCAGCTGGTTAGGGACCTGCATGAGCGCGCTGGGCACATGGGAGTCCGCAAGACGGTGTCCCTTCTGCGTCCCCACTATTGGTGGGTAGGACTGTCGGCGGAGGTGGAGCATGCGGTCAGGGGCTGCGAGGCATGTGACAGGGTGCGTGCCACCTTCAATGCCAAGCACCCAGCGCTCCACCCGCTGCCCATCAGAGGCTTGTTCTACTGGTGGGGGTTGGACTTCGCAGGACCGCTCCCCAAGTCGGTGAGGGGGAATCAGTATGTGCTGGTGCTCGTGGAGCACTTCAGCAAGACTGTGGTCCTGGCGCCCACCGTGGACAAGGAGCCGGCGTCCACGGTGGCTGCGGTCTTCACACGAGAGGTGTTGACGCGATATGGGGCGTGCGCTAAGGCGGTGACAGACAGGGGCGGTGAGTTTGGGGGGGAATTCCAAGCGTGTCTGGATGCTGCGCTGATTGACCACCGGGCGACCTCTGCCTATCACCCGCAGGCGAACGGGTTGAGCGAGCGCATCGTTCAGGTGGTGAAACGGGCGCTGCGCAAGTGGTGCCTGGGGCACCCCGCAGAGGAGTGGCATTTGTATCTGCCATGGATCGCCATGGGATACAATTTCAGTGCGCAGCACTCTCTGGCGGGGTTCTCCCCGTACCAGCTGTTGCATGGCAGGGAGCCGGTGGTGCCTGGCGCCATCAAGGTCAGGGTGGAGGAGTCGCTGGACCTGGATGACGAGGCTCGCCTGGTGGCGCTGGTGGAGGAGCGCGCGGCGCTGTTCAAGAAGTGGGTGCCCATGGCGATGGGCAATTTGGAGATCGCCCAGCACAGGGACACGCTGCGGTATGCTAAGACCAGGAGTGGGGCGTGGAAGCCGCAGGTGGTGCGTTACGAGGTGGGAGACTATGTTTACTTGCAGCGGGAGATGGTGGATACGCTGGACACGCGAGCGGGGGCGCGGATTCTGAGGGTGCGCTCAGTGGGGGGGAACGGCGTGCTGGAGCTGGAGGGAGCAGACGCGCGGACAGTGCGGGTGCACGTGGAGCGGTGCGCTCCTTGTCACCGCGCAGATGTGGATGGGCGAGTTGACCCCAGGTTGGCAGTGCCGTCGGCTGATTTTGCCTGCATGCGCTGCGGGAAGGCGACTGGCGCAGCGCGCATGCTGTTGCATGCGACGGCTGCGGGGCAGGCTGGCACCTAGAGTGTCTGGCCAGTCCCTTGTCAGCAGTGCCTGACGGGGACTGGTTCTGTGCTCAGTGCATGGGTGGACGAGCGCTGGAGGATCGCCAGCCAAACAGGTAGTAAGGTGTGCCCTTGTTGTGGACACGGGCTCAGGAGGGGATGGGTAGTGCGGCTGGCATGCCCATGATGCGCTGTGAGTAAAGTATGCGGTGGCATATCGAGACGAATCAGCTAGAGATATGTAGGTGCGACAGCTGTCAGGCTGGTTTGTGTCGGGTTCGGTTAGTGTCCGGTTTAGTTAAGGTATTTAACTAGACAGAGGACACTAATTAGAAAATAAGTGCAGCAACACCAAATAGGGTTAGGACATGACATAGGGGAAGAATGAAGCCTCAAGCTTCATTCTTTCTTCTGTTCATACATGGGCTTGTTAAGGGCGGTTCAGTGGAGACCCTTGAGAGTTCTAAGTTGGCCTGGAGAAAGTCTCATGTGATGGTGCATTGGTGAAGCTGAAGATGATGTGCACTCCGGTTACATTCATGGCCCTTCTGTGATGCGTGGAACGTGGCGCAATTCATTCACATGGGTAGTGCGGCTGGCATGCCCATGATGCGCTGTGAGTAAAGTATGCGGTGGCATATCGAGACGAATCAGCTAGGAGATATGTAGGTGCGACACGTGGCTCCTATATGAATGCTGTACAACGTGTGCCAGCAATCGAGCGAAGCGCATGCGGCCATGTATTAATCCGCATGAAGTGACGGTCGGACATGCATTGTAATATTATCATAATTTGTTATTTTTTATTGATATCTTGCCAGCATGACTGAGGTAAAATGCGGGGCCAGATGCCATGCAAGCTGTTCGGCCACATAGTTGTACGTTGGCGCGGCGCGACACACTGCATGACATGCCAATTAAAACAGGTACAGCTTGGATCAAATGATCATGGTTGGACTCCAACCACACATGAGGTCATGTGAGTTAAGGTAAAGCTGGATCTAGCTTCTTATTTGTCATGCACGTACGTACATAGATCGGTACGTAATCACCTAATCTCACTTATTGTCAAGTGCGCGACCTTGAACTTACGCTACGTACTGCGCATGGTCGCAGTTGGAACGATCTGCAAAATTGCAGAGTGGCGCCGCGCTGGCAAACCGGGGCACTCTGTATTACTGATCACACACGGTGCAAACGCAGGCCGCGCACATGAGGCGGCCACTAGACGTTATGCATGCAGTCGCCCTAGCTCGTGCATATGTATGCACTCTGATATACGGGTCGTCCCGCTAACTATTCAGGTTGTGGGTGAACCTAGCCGTGGTGCAACAGATGTCACCTGTGCAAACTGATCGGCTCGCCATACGTTGTGAGCATGAGGGCCAACGTTGCTGTCTAAGTACTGAGCTGATGCTGTGGGACTTGTCCGCTGTGGCTAATGCAGCCACGAATGTCAATTTCATGTAATCAACCTGTCACCCTTTGATTGTCTGCCAGCTAGCAACTGACACCTACGGCTTAAACCTAGAATTCCAACAAGTTCCAAGAATGCCCCAAGGCTTCGTTGTAAATTCGCGTTTTGATCTTGTCCACGTTGCCCTTTAACCTATTGCTTCCGACTCGTCGCCTCCTGTACATACTTCCGCAACGCCGCGGCATTCACCCGACTGTGCCGCTCTAGATGCTGCACCCACTCGTACAGCGCTTTCAGCGGGATCAGCTGCTTATGCGCGCGCGCCTGCCTAACCAGTTCCAAAACCCGCTCGGGTTGTTTAACCCTTAGGTATCGACGAACGAACGCGTCGAAGACGCGGGTACTCAGCTGCGGGTCGGGCTGCGCTTCGACGTGTTGGTAGAAGCTCGCGAGCACGGCCTCCGCCTCAGGCAGCCGGCCCTCGTCGAGAAGGCAAAATATTATTTTACCGAAGGTCTTGGGGAACGGGACGCAGCCCTGCTTGAGCAACGCGTCTAAAATCTGCATGCAGAGCGAGTTTAAGTTTCTTTCAGAGAGGTTTCAAACCATAGGAGGCTGAGAGTAGCGGGCTGTCAACCCGTAAGCCCGCAGGTTTCCACGTAGAGCTCTGCGACCCAACGAAGTACACGACTTTACAAGAGGTGACTAAAACGCCAATTTGCTGAACGTCTGTCACAGCATACAAACCATCAATCATGAAAAGGATTAGGGCCTCGGAAGGCAATGGAGAACAGATGTGAAGACGAAAACGCGCGAAAAAATGGGAGATACACAAACGAAGATGGTAATACAGACCCAAATATTCTAGAGAACGATATTCCTCCACGAAGCTGCGCTACGAAACACGCATCGAAAGGGGAGACGAATGGTGGAACGGACCCAAACGTGAGAGAATGCTCGCGCACCTCTACCGCTTCGTCCGCGTGCTGCGCCAGGCACAGCAGGCTGATCAGCGCCGGCCCTATGCCCTTCACGTTCAACCCCGGCTCCAACTTGAGCACAGTCAGCAACGCCCGGTGTGACATCAGCACGTGCCGGTGCTTAACGTAGGAGCTCAGCACGGGCGCGAGGAAGAACCCCGCATTCCGTTGCCCCCGGTCCCGGAAGTCTTCCGCTTCCTCTACGCACCCCATCTCGATCGCCGTGACGATAGCGTCCAGCCAGAGGTGCACCGGAAAGAACTGCCCCCGTCGCATAGCGTATACGGTGTCCCGTAAGATCTGCACGGCCTCCCGTTTCCGGCCCAGCTGTCCGAGCGCGCGCGCGAGGTCGCAGTCGTTCCGGCCGGAACGGAGCCGGTCGCTCGGAACCCCCGCGCCGAGAAGTGCGGCGTAGGTCTGCGTCAGGACCGGCGTGCCGTGCTTGCGTGCAGTGGCGGTGCCGAATGACATCAGCGCTTCGTCGACCATACCCAAATTTACCTGCCACGTAAAGCGATGACTGGAGTCGTAGATAAGCGGAGAATGAGCACGTGTCGCAAGGTAATGGGACGACTTGTTTTTATGTATGACGTGCTTGTCTTGAAGCTCATCGAAGCTCCAAGTATCTTATAATGCGAGCGTTGTCAACGATATTCGGCTGCTTTGAGATTGTCATTCCAGAATATTCGTATAAGGCCCACGTCGTGTATAACCTCGTGCTTTCGTCACCGTGCACAGCTTGATCTGCAGAGGTCAGTGGCGAGAAGGCAATTGGCTAAACTCTGAATCAAGAAGGACGTCAGCACTTCTTTAAGCTCTCGCTGTTGCCTGCCACGGAGGATTGCAAGTCAACAGTATCGAGGTCTGCCAGCATCAATGAAACATGACGGCCTTTGTCCGGCCTGAGGCGGAGGATTATCTTCGGCCTCAAGCGACCAGCCAACAAGCGTACAAATCTCTTGCTTCTATTCCACCTGTTGTCGAAACCCTCTTATTGGTTGAGAGGCATTTTCACTGATCAAGAGGGAGGCCCGCAGATGAGCTTTCGAAAATCTCAAGTTGAATTAAACCTCAGTGCCACTGCCTCCGAGATATTCTGGGCTTTGTCCGTTGTGCAGAATTGAACACAAAACAAATCTCGAAAGTCGTTGTTTTCGTCGTTGATGAGAACGTTGTAACAAAGAACGTCAAATCATGGGGCTGTCCTGAAGATAACGTGCATTCACTTGGCCTACTCAGTATGCCTTACGTACGCAGACTACTTCTCGACAGGTTTTCTTTGTATCCTTAGCTCTGATTTTGCGGAAGGTTTTGTTTAAATCCTCAGCGTCTAATCCTGCGAAAAAGTTGGTCCAGATCGACTGACGACAAAAAAGTTTGATGACTTTGTTGACAGCTGATGGGCCAACGGCACCTCAGTATAGCCAGCTGTCGTCCAGCTAGAAACCAAAAATTGGAACCGAAGCCACGAATAAATGAATATCGATGAGTCGGTCAAAGCAACTTGCATGAAGCGGCCGTGTCCCGTCCAGCCAACCCTACACCGCACATGGACCTTAGTAAAAAGCTTTTCTCGAACAAAAAACGAGTCACCGTCTACTCCATTTTTCACAGAAGTGGGAAGCTTGCCCGCCCCTCCGCAAGATCCCGCTCCCTCCTCTTGCGCACTTTGTGTCGTTGCACGACTGGGGAAGGAAATCAAATTCTGAACTGCGCACCTCACCAGGGACTAGATGACCTCGAGAATAGTTGTTGCTATGTTGTCTCAATCTTGACTAGCTTGAGTCGTCCTCAGGGCTTCCCCAAATCTTAAGAGACCGGCAGATGCTCGAAAGCGCTATAAAAGTCAGAACACCAGTAAATCAAGCAGTACGTAAAAGATCGCGCCCCTTACCTGAGACTGGATGAACTCATCAAACAGCTCCACCTCCCACCCGTTCTCTTGCGCCTCGTCCATGACGTCAACCACCTCCTGGTAATACCCCGCCACAAACAGCGACTTCACGACCCTCTCGACAACTTGCTTCCCAAACGACACGCCCCGCTGCCGCTTGCCCTCCTCATACAACGCCATGATCCGGTCCGCCCTCCTCGCCTCTCCCAGGATCTTCCAGAGTTCGTTTAAGACGGTGTGGTCGAACGGGGAGACTTTCCAAAGGGGTTCGAGATACCAGGTTGCAAGCTGGAGCGCGCGCTCCCAGTCGGGAACCGTTTTGCGTCCAAGATCGTCTAGGCAGAGCGTCCGAAGGGCAAGGCGGATCTCGACGGGAGAGAAGTCGTCTCGGGTTTGGCCCTCTTTCAAGAGCTCGGCCTGCGGGATAAATCAACCAGTAATCAAGGACACAATTATAGTAGACATGCGGTATAGAACCAAACCAGGAACAGGAAAGCATCGATGGCCCCTGCTCGGTGGTTGAGAGGGCACAGATTGAGGGAGCGGCCAAAGGAAAATAGGGGGCCCGAGAAAAAGTCAACATGACAGCTTCAAGCCACTTAGCAGGATGGTTACAGGACAGTAATACAGCAGATCGGCGAAAGATGCAGGCGAGAATGTGTGGCCGTCATTGCTGGACAAAAAGACAGCTGTTACAGTGTGCTTCCAGACACTTTCAGTGTGCCGAAAGGGGTGTCGAATTCACACCACAGACAGGTCGGAAAGGTGCCCTAGAATTGTCATTTAACTTTCGAAAAGGCAGTGGGTACTCAAGACGAGGATTGGCGCTCCCCTGTAAGGAAGCCGATTACCCAAACGCTCTTTGATTGGGCCCTCGTCCAGTGTTTCAAAGGGTCAGAGACCAGTTCAGGACTCAAGAAACGACATAATAACAACTATAACGTGGGGAAGATTGGGCCTGATGCACAGAATTTCACACACTGCTTTGAATAATGTTTACGACCCTTCCTCTGAAATACTGCTTGATGCACTTTGAAAACAAGGCAATCAAGTGCAGTGACCTGCAGAGGTCTGCCGCCAGCTCAAACGTTTTCAGAAGGTCTGCATAGTGAAACCTGACACAAGTTCGAGAAAGCACCACCAACCCGCAAGTCAGCATCGACCGGAAGGCTTTTGAGTAGAGTCCCCAGCAAGAGCCCCCGCCTTTGTTCCATCGGCGACCCCCACTTCTGCCTCGTCCGCTCTTCATAAAGGCTGGGCTTCCTATTTTCAGTGCGCTGTGCATCGCCGCTGCGTGCATTGGCCTGGGCAAGCGAGGAGTACGCTCTAATGGGACAGCCGAAGGTCCGATATGGCACTTTCCAATCGAACCACGAAGGGTATGAGGACTCTTCTAAGAGGGTGGTGTGCATAAAGATGGGAAAGGGAAGGAGTGGTGTCAGCTTGGAAGCCGTGTGTTGCACATGAGTGCTGCGATGATGGGGCGAGTGAGAGCTCCTGGGACCGAAGATCTGCGCCTGACATGCATCCAAAACGTCTGGCCAAATTGTGCCGGGTCCGAACAGCGCTCGAAACCAGGATTCATGGATGATTGAAAAACGGACCCCGGTGATCTGAGTTGCTTCACATAGTGCAAGGGCCAGCCGCGGCACGAGCATCTCAGACGCCGCCAGCGTCGCAAAGATGCTTTTCTCAGGCAGATTGAGATCGCCTGAAGCTGCAGTTAAAAGATACGTCCTTCCTGTGACCACTCATGCCCTGAACCATCGCTGAACGTCGCTATGTGAAGAACACAGAGAAATTTTCATGTACAGAGCAGATTACGTGGCGCTCGGAAAGGCGCACATGCAATGCTGCCGGCTTGCTCAGGCCATATTTGCTGCAGTGCCAGTTCTCTGCCCATGCTAGATCCAAATGCTGATGTCATTTGGCGCCATGCAAAAAGCCCGCGCGACCGTGCCGGCGGCCGCGGATGCAATCCGCGGCCGCCTGATCGACCAGATTCCCGACACGTGGCAACTTTCTTCGTGCGGAAGATTCTTCTCCAAATTCCCCCCTACCATGAAGGAATCTGGGCGACCCGAAACCTCTCGCGGTACGTCTCCGAGTCCGTCGAAAGTTTCATAGCTCGAATAAGGCTAGATAGAACGGATCTCAGACGACAGAATTTGTAAAGCTTTTTGCCAGATCGGCATAAAACACCACAAAAGGTTCGGAGCAGCGAACTTACCCAGATCAGGCAAATGGGGGGACGTACCGCTGCGCCATGGCGGACAAGAAAGCGCTTCTGCAGGGCTCCGTTCGGCAGTGAACGCTGGTGAAGGGCTAACATCGGATTCGAGAAGGAAAGTGTTGATCGAGTGGAGTTGATTCCGCAGCAGATTTCCGTCCAATTCAGTCATTCCTCAGAAGGAATTATTCGGCATCGGCAGCATTGCTTTTTGCCCCTCGATCGCTCTGCTTACAGCACAGCTGATTTTGCTGGTTCTGCGATTTGAGCTGCTCCCCAGATTAAGAGTGTTGCCCCTCCCCATGCATGCAGTTTGTAAAAAGATTGAAAGGTCGTCCAATCTGCGCCGAAGCGCAGAAATCGCAAAGCGTACATCGTTGGAAACGTTGATTAATCAGTCCAGTCCATCTTAGCTGGTAGTACATTGACAATGAAGAAGGAACGTGCACACAGAAGTGATGTGTTGCGGGCTTTTGATGACGTAGGCCTTTTGCAGTATGGTTACACAGGCCTTACCCCCTTAGGGAAGCTGAATGTGGAAATATCCAACCAGGCGACTTCAAAGAGGTTCTCAGAAGTCTGGGACGACCAGTCTGCAGAAGCATTCCTGAGAGAGGATGGTGATGGACATTGTTTGGCGGCAATGCCAACAGACGAGGCTGACGCCAATCCAGGTAAGTACGATTGGCAGGACACTCTCACTAGAGGAATCACAGAAAACAGTACGTCTGGAATCTGGACCATACTTTTTTCCACCTAGGGGCAGAGGTTGCTGTTGTCCTAGTAAAGGAAAGGTGTTCCTAGGAAGCAAATATCTGCTGGTTTCTTTTTGATACTTTTGTTGGTTGAGAATCGTAAGCTCTTAGGAGAGTACTAGCTAAACTGTCCCTCTGAAACCACTTGTTTTTCGCTTCTGTAATTGTTCTGTCGTGTACAGTTGGCAATTGCTGTGAATCTCATGTTTTGATCTAGATTGAGGGCTCTTTTCGTTTTGGACTATCAATTGAAGACATTGTGGGGCCTAAGACGTCAGAATTAATGTTGACTCCTGGAGAGTTGCGATGCGTGCTGTGTCATGACCACTGAGACCGATCTAGAGTCCTTGCTTAAAAGCATCATGATGACTATCCAATCATACATTTTCCGAGTCAAGTGCTAAGCATCATCCTTACCCGGGTCGTTTCTCTGCAGGTGTTAGCCGGATAGAAAGCTCAATAAATTTTCTGAAGGACAGGCTATCTGACCTTCAACAACTCCCTGGTCAATTCTCTCAGCGAGCGAAGAAAGTACGCCCTGTGAGAAAAAAAAGCAGGCAGAATGCGGCGGTTGTGCTTGTTGCAAACGTGGAGTCGACAAGCTCAGGTGCGTTTCTTATCCACTGAAGCGTAGGAGTTCCCCCCTCTGATTCCTGTAAGTTCAAACATTCTCATGTCAAGAGAATACTACAGTCCTTAAAAATCTCGATGGAAGCTGAAAGCAGAAGTCGCTTGCATTCCAAAGCAAGATATAACTATGCAAAAGTGCACAAGTCCCATCCTGCAATCCTGGCCAGCTCCTTCTAGTTTGAAATAGGGCTTGTTGGACAACTTTGTGTACTGTGCACATGAGTGCATTTCTATGATTTACAAATCTTGTTGCGATTGCGTCACTCCTTTCTCAAGAGACTACTTTGCAATGCAAGCTGCGAGAAGATGTAAGCAGTAGGTTCTTCACACTCAAGCCGTCAATTCCTTCGTGACACATAACAAGCTTCTCGTGGTGATTTCAGGGGTGGTTGAAGACAAAACAGGCTCCCAACAAGACAAGAAGCAGCGCAGCTCAACCATGAAGGAGAACTTCATTGCGGGAGCGTCTGCGTCTTTCCTCTCCAAGCTTGTCCTGCAACCTTTTGACACGACCAAAACCATTCTCCAGGTATGCAAGGTGGATTCGCAATGGCTCTCTTCTTTTGCATTATATGCTGGTGCTGAATTTTCTTTCCAACTGACAGAGTGTTCGAAGTGGTGTACTTGTCCTTGAGCACAGCTGCTTTGAGCAATGTATTGGTCTTGTAGTGGCCGACAAATAGGTGAATTTGTATCACAGACAAAAGGCAGAAGACCAGCGAACCTGCTCGGAAGCGACCTTTGGGGTCAGAAGTCTGAGGGAATCCAATTCAGGCTGTCAAGAATGTTCATTCTATTCTGCCACCACAGCTGTAGAAAGATACTCGATATCGTGAGACTCAGAGCCATTGTGAAGCGTGCACTACCCCAATTAGCCAACCTAGGAGTCCCTTTCTGACCCTCTGATGGCTCTCTTACCCCAGCAAAAGTTTGTTAAGACTGTCTTAAAAACATGGCAATTCCGAGCTAAAATAGGTGCGTCCACAATCTTATGCTCATCCTTTTGTTCCACTGCAGTCTTCCACAAACAGCTACAAAACCTTCACGGACTGCGCCGTGGGTGTAGTCAAGACTCAAGGAGTGATGGGGCTGTACCGAGGGTTTGGAGCCAGCATAGGCACGTCGGCTCCTTCGTCTGCCATCTTTTTCGCCACGTATGAAGCGGTCAAGAAGTGGACGGAGGCAAAGTTCCCCAAGACGCTGGGCCAAGTGGGGCCGATCGTGGGGGCAGCTGTTGGAAACGTGGTAGCGAGCGTAGTGAGAGTGCCTCCAGAGGTGAGGGCGGTGTGGTCTCCTTCTATATGTAGAAGTTTCTGAGCCAGCGTCGTTGCAAGGCGAGGTATGAATCAGGTAGTGGAGAGCGTGTGCCCCGGACTGTGTTTCGGAAGTGCTTGTTTCAGATTCTTGAGAAGCGCGTCCTTGCTGTCGGAAGACGATCTTCGAGGGGTGGGTTCGCAGTAGGACCTGTCAAACATTGAAGGCATCTTTCTGGCCAGACTCTAAATGGTGGACATTCAGTCATGCCACATTGTTTCAGAGCATCTCTCTGTGCAAGCCTTGTAATGATCGATTGGCGCATGTGTTGTAACTGCCTGCCAGGTTTCGTGGCAAGGCAGTTTATTATGTATTATGACATGGTGGCCCATGAATTAAACGTCTGCTACCACCCTTGGGTATTGCCTTCTCGAGACTTTATATGGTGTCTAACCACAACTGCCCTCGAAGAGGGAGACCCGAATTTTGGCCTTGTTGTGCGAAACTTGGTACTTGGTCGAGTATCCATTGCCCGTAGTAAGCTTGTGTATCTCTGTGCAGTCAACCTGGCTTTTTATACGGCCGTGGCTAGGATGGTGTTCCAGACGTTATTCAAACAACCAAACTCTGGTCCATATAATCCTGAAACACAGCGCCTTGATCTATAAAAGCTTTCCCCACAGGTCGTCAAACAGCGGGTACAGGCTCGGGTTTACCCAAATATGGTCGTTGCAATCCGGGAAATGAGCAGAACCGAGGGCATCGGCGGTTTTTACACCGGCTACGGTATCCAGGTACGCTTCGCCTATATTGTGGTGCTCAGTAATCAGGCAACGACGTCAATCCATGTTGTTAGCTATCAACAAGATCAGCCTTTGCTTCTCAAGACTGAGGATATGGAAAGAGTTAGGGCCCTTCGTATAGTCACTTTTCAGCGTTGTGAATAAGAACGTTTAAAGGTCGAAACGAACTCTGGATTTTATGGGTATAGCAAGCAAGGGTCAGTGTCAGAAATCGATGCTGTTCGCTCGGCCTTTGCGCATAACGCCTCCACTTTGACCCAATTCAAGTTTGACTGCGCCTTTCTTCAAAAGGGTAAAGTGTGTTGGACCTTCAACATCGAAGCGTTCTCAGGTGGGACGATTGCGCGCTAGCTTCATCGTACTTGAGAGAAAACTGCTTTTCCGAAATGCTGACAAACTGTGGCATCGTATGACACTTCACCGGCGTGAACAAGCGCAGTGCTGGCTGACGGTCAATCAAGCAGATCAGGAAAGAAGTCGGAACAGCGCGTAGGGATGGGCAGTGAGGGCGAAAGAAAGGACTTGAAGGGTCAAACAGACGATTTATTAAAAGCAATCTAGCTTGGCAAACGAAAAACGGGGACACCTATACTCCACCTGAGGACTTTACTCTCTGCTGTTTTCAGCTGGCGCGCGACATCCCGTATGCCGCCATCCAGTTCATGACGTTCGAGACCCTGAAGAAGGCGTACGGTGTGAACAGGCCCCAGGAGGCGGGGGCGCCGAAGCGGCCGGTCACGTCTGAGGCCAAGAAGGTGCTGACCAACCTGTGGATGGGCGCGGTGAGCCTAAGATTCCAGTTCTCTCGAGCGTGTCTCGTCTCGGAAACGAGTCTGGAGATTGCTTGCCAATGTAGATACGTTCCCGTTTTTGTGCGGATAGGGGCTGCTTTCGTTGCTTAGGTTGTGACGAGACTGTAGCCGATCCTGCCAACAAGAGCTTAACCTTTTTCTTTTCCAAAGCACTTGTAGTAAACACCTCGTTGCAGTCACCTTACTTTTCGGAGGTTGTGCAAATGTGGCTTCGTTTTCTTTCCATTGCCTCAAACTGTGGACAGATTCCGGTCTGACAAACTGCAAACCGCAAACCGCAACAGCAGTGTCGTTGAGAGATCACCAAAATCTGATTCACGATTTCTCTGAACGAAGAGCAGCATCGCAAGGTCTACAGGGACTGAGTTAGTGTTGGGCAGTCGTTCAAAACTCTGGAGACAACATTCCGTTATCATTCAGACCGCACTTCCGTAATAAACAACGGGATGCGCGTCATCGGTAATCCTTCTGGATCTTCGCCAATACTTGATCGGGCAGACATCAGACGCGACTCGCCCCTCTTTGTTCCAGGTCGCGGGCCTCGTGGCGAGCGTCGTGACGAATCCGATGGACGTCGTCAAGACACGTGTCATGACGCAAGACCTGACGCAGGGGGCCGTCAAGATCGGGGTGCGGCAGACGGTGCGCAGCATCCTGAAGCACGAGGGCCCGCTGGCGTTCACCTATGGGATGCTGCCCAGGGTGATGCTCAAGGTGAGGCGAATCTGCAAAAAAGCGAAAGCATCAAAGAAACAAGGTACACTGATACTAAGGGACTCGACGAGGACCGGTGGGGTTGGTTTTGGGGGTTAGGTGGGTTGGGGTGCGGAGTAACGATGTGCTGAGGGTGTTTGTGCTGTTTAAAGAGAGAATGTATGCAAAAAAGATCCTCCGAGTAGTGAAGTGATTATCGGAACTGCTTGCATCCGTTGTAGTCTGGGGGTTGCGGAGAACAGGCCTGGTACTGGTAGGTAGGGCTGTATTCGCACCTAAGAAAGAGGTTACGATGGTCAAAGGCAAAATGGAGTTGGTTGCTTCCTTCTTCGTATATAGTCCTTACATGTCGCTGCACTCAGAAGGACCCGTTTTTTCGGAGTTAGTCGACTCGTGTCGATCCAAGATTTCGAAAGAGCCTCGTCAAAAGGTTTGGGGCAGTCTCGAAAGTATCTTGCTGTCAGCTGTCTTACGGCCAATGATTTGGTCTCTCGAGGCAGCCTTGATTAGCGGCTGCTGGGCGGGTTCTCGACCGATCGAGCATGTCGACGTCGAGCGCCCTATCCCCTGCTGAAACTGGCAGGCCCTGTCAGTTAACTTTGATTGCAACGATACCGCTGTCAACGTTGCGGGGCTGGCAGGCCGTTGCGAGGCTGCCTTTCTGATGCGCAGAAATTTTACGCTTGGGAGTAGTCGCGACTTGCACGAGGTCACTTTGGTTCTTGTAACCAAACCGGGAAGGGCTTCTTATCCGCATCATCTGCCGTGGACTTTGATTGGGCTACTTTTTCTCTGTCTGCAGGTCCCTGCCTCCGCGCTCTTCCTGGTCGCTTATGAGGGCATAAAGCGGCTGCTTATCGCTTTTGAAGTGACCCAACGGGCGGCCCAGCTCGTAAAGATAAAGGCTGCTCAGGAAGCGCGGGAGCTGTCACGGCAAGCGCGGAAGGCGGCCATGTCGAAGCAGCGGGAAGAGGAGAAGCGACAGCGGTCGCAACGGGGCCTCCAAGAAACGAACGGTCTTCTGCACGACAACGAGTTTGAGGATTTGTCATCGCCCCGGGTGATGAGCGAGGCTGTGCTCGCGTCCATCGTTCTCTCCGGACCGGCCACACGGAGATTGGGGAACACGCTGCGGATTAGAAAGTTGCTCGCAGAGCGGAGGAATAAGAAGAACTAGGACGTTGCAGACCGAGGTTCGTTGACTTCATCTTGGAGCGACGTAAGGTTGACCACGTCATTGTGCTTAGCTTTTGGTTCCCTATAGGCAGGCATGGTTGGGCATGCCCAACCATGCCTGCTGTTGCGGCTTAGAACGTGTACAGCGCTTGGTGTGTATTGCCAGGTCCATGGTTAATTGGCACTTGAGAACTTAGCTCAATAGGAGCTTGTCTTGTACTTTACAACTTGACGGCCAATTCAGTATCGGCCAACTCAAGATAACGAGTTGTTCTGTTGATTGATCAGTCCCTGACCTGACCGTAATGGGCCAAAACATGACAGTCCAGATTTGCGCTGTCTTGCTGTGCATAATTTTAGTCGCTGATCGAGCTATGATCGAGTCCTGACTCGTACTCTGGACAGAATTCCTTTTGGAATTCCACAATCAGTTTGTATGGAGGGTGTTTATACCGGCCCGAATTACCTCAAGCCTAGAGCTTGTCACAACTATCTTAACATGCTTTGTGGAGTGTGGCCGCGATGGTCGTCTTTAAGAGAACCTGACGGAAATTGACAGCTTAATTGCGAGTTGCGCCGCGTGTCATTCAACGCCGCGAAGCAACATTAACCCGGGCCGCCGACGTGAGCCTATGGTCCATGTTGCAGAAAGCAGATCGCCGCCGAGTGCGGTGACCAGTTTCGAACGCCAATGTCCCCTTTAGTATGTCCATTGAGAATTACTCGTGTACACAGGTATATAAGGTTGCGCACGTACTTCGATAGCCCCATGCAGGACCTCAGATGCTTGCTTTGAAGCTCTATGAAAGCATGGGCAAAGAAACAGACTAGCTCTTGCATGTGACGCCGGGTAGTCGTCCGCCGGCCCGGGCTCCTAGCTGGCACTTAGCAGACAATATCACGTGCACGCGCGCGGCGCATCAGCGCGACGTGAGAGTGTCGCGTTCTGAATTTCAATCGCATTTGCAGCTATCTGCAAGTTCATGCGGCTTCTGCGCTCATCCAATGCATTCGACTTGAGCGGGAGCAGGTCGCAAGGTTTTTGAAAGCTCAGGTGAGGTGTATGAAGGGTCAGACATTTGAAGAGCTGCATACGTCGATCTGGTGAAGATTCGTGCAAAACATCAGATTGGAGCAGCCGACAGCGATCGCGCTACAGCCTTCAGTCTTCGATAAATCTACAGAGCGAGTTTATTTTGGGAAAAACGTGGGCCTTATACCTCTCCATGGTCTGATCATAGCTTTCGATGTAGCTCCTAACCACAATGTAGGCGAATTCAGTGGATTTACTGTTCCGAGCGTAGGGCTGTAGACAGAACGATTGATCTGAGAAGCGGCCCTGGACTCCAGGCTGTTGTCTACTCCTTCTTAGCTCTCTTCTTGGGACCTGCAGAGTGTGCGGGTGATTTCGATTTGGGAAGGGCTTCGCCAATTGTTCTTTAGCCGAGAATTAAAAAAGCGTCGAAGATTTCGGCACCTTTTACCAAAAGGTTCGAATAGTACTGATGTGTAGAATAATAGTCCGTGGCATTTATTCATGGATAGCAGTACATGAGGTATCTCCGCTGGTGCTTGTAACTTTCAATCTCATGAAGCATCAACCAAACCTCCGCATCTAATTGAAGACCCCACCACCTAGGAGACCGAAAGCCCACTCTGAAGATCCTACAAGGGTCCAGTTGAAGGCAATACACAGGCTAATGCAGGCATGCACTTTGAACTTTTGGCTCGCTCGAAGCAGATTGGTGGACATTGGAGGCCTTGGAAGAAGTTTTAGACTAGCAGTGCGAACGAACCAATAGTCGACAGTTTCGCAAGCAGTACTTTGGGCTTCTTCCCAGAACAGAAAGTTGGCAGAACGTGTTCCAAAAGCAGTTCGATGCGGCGAAAAATCGATACGTCGCCCGTCGATGTCGCTAACAAACGAGCCGTGCACCAACACATTGCAGCTCGCTTTATATTCTACACACGGTCTTTGCACCTGCGTCCATGTTCCTCCTGAACAGAGCATAGCATGAAGTGCAGAGTGGATAGGATCTTGCTGCTTACCTTCTCCTTTGCCATCTGACTCTGAGGTTTTCCGCTTCTTCGGCTTCGGGGTTTTCTCTCCCTTCCCTTGCTTTGTGGCCGACTTCTCCGCTGTGGAGATTTTGAGACAATTGGAATCTAAATTTAGATAAGTGTGCTCAGGCAGAGAAAGCCAGGCTCCGGTTGCATTTCGGAAAACTTCCGTGGCCGCTGGTTGAGACAGCAGGTTTTTCCTGTACTTCCGGAGACTGGCCTCAACCTACGTCGCCATGGTGAATCCTTCTTGGGGGAAGAAATGACGAAGGGACCATCAAGAGAAGGATCATGTTGATGCACTTATCTGAAGGCCCTTAACACTTGGCTCAAGAGGCTACAGCAAGATGACACCCAGATCCTGTAATCGAGCGTTTTAAAACGGATCGAAAACCGCATTCGTGGAGCAACAAAACAAAGACTTGGAATCAGAAACCCGAAGACGGTTCTGCAGGATCAAGCACTACAGCACTTGTGACAGTTCCAAGACGCAGTTCTGACAGCACTAGATCAGAATTCCCACTGAGAATATGAAGCAGGACCAGGGGCCGAAGGGACTCGCATGGTGAGTCCTGGCAGAGTAATAAGGCGCTTGCTTACCTCTTTTCGACTGCAGTGCTTCCACCAGCAGATTATTGAGGTCCTGGCGCTCTTTGATGCCAAAGGTGTTGATGCCCAGCTCCTCCAGCTTCTGCAGCAGCAGTTTGGTGCTCAGGATGGCAACGGCTGACCGAACTGCACGGAACGCGCAAGGATAGAGGTAATTAAGAGGGCCTGACCACTTTAAGGACTGTATCGCTTTGCAAGTTTATTGATTAAGACCGTTCTTCGATGAAGTCAATTCTGCAGATTTGTGCTCTTTTCAAGGAAGTCCGCGATGAAAGAAGTCCGAGTACGTATAAGGATAAGGATATTTGTGTATTTGAAATTGAGCGCAATGGCTGCACCAGAGACGAGGCTGCTCTGTACCCGTTGCGGGGCCGTTGCACACCCAAGTGACGTCACAAGGGGGTCCGCGCTGCGTTTAGATTGTACTTATGCAAATACAATGCATGGCACTTCCCTTCGAGCAGATTCTGCTTTTCGCAATTATAAGAGTACAACTCACGATGTTCTACACCGTTCTCTCGCGCCTTCGTGACCCCCTTCTTCTCACTCGTTTTCGGCTTTTTCGGCTTGGGGGTAGCGGCCGAGGAAGGCGGCAACGGCCTGTCATCATCGGGCTCATCTGCAACAAAGAGCATTTGCTATTTACGGAAAGGATTTTTTTTCCAGTTCTCAGACGCATAGACGAGACATTAATTTACTCCTGATTGCTCTCTTTTTAGATCCCGTATGAGTCACTTTGCATTATTCGAACCTGGGATAGTTTGCCTTGCTTATGATCCATAAAATTCCACTATGATCAGCACCAGCATACTACTCTAAGGTGAAGAAGGCTATTGTTGGTCCGGCGAGCACGATGGAGGAGTGACGCAGGGCTTCAGAGAGGCTTCGTCCTTTGGGATTGCGCTTGCTGATCAAAGCTGCTCCAGACTGGCACAGACACACCTTCTCGTCGAAGAGTTGGTGTCACAGCAACTTGCTTGAAGCATTTGCCTTTAAGCCGCCAGAAAAAAAGGCCCTTTCATCAGATTCGGCACAGAACGAAGAGGAGCATGCAATAGATCCAATTCCGCTGAGTGTTGATTCCATTAGGTCAATGCTTTAAGCAATCCCACCCTTCTGGATTCGGGACTTTGATTGCTCACCGGCCTTGATTCCGGCGCCAGCCCCGCCTTCGGGCCCCCCGGCATCCTCACCCCCCCTGCCGTTACCTTCTTTCGACGGCAGTGCTTTCATCAGCAGATTATCGAGGTTCTGGCGCTCGTTGATGCCATTGGTGTCGACGCCCAGCTTCTTCAGCTTCTTCAGCAGCAGTTTGTTGCCCAGCATGGCAACGGCTGACCGAACTGCACGGAACGCGCAAGAACAGAGGTAACGGCCTGACGACTTTGAGAGGGGATCGTACTGCTTCGCAAGGTTATTGATCAAGGCGCTCCTTAATGAAGGTGAATTCTGCAGATCTGTGCTCTTTTCAAGGAAGTCCGCGATGCAGAAATTGTCCGAGTACATATGAGGATATTTGTGAGTTCTAAACGGAGCGCAAGCCTCCCGTTCTGGCCGCACCCCCGTCGAAGCACTAGACCGCTTGCACAACCAAGTGATGTCACAAGAATGTCAGCGCTGCTGCTAAGAGTTGGTCTTATGCAAATACAATGCATGGCACTTCCTTTCGAGCTAACTCTGCTTTTCGCAATTATGAGAGTACAACTCACCATGGTCTTCACCGTTCTTCTGCGCCTTCTTGCCATCCCCCTTCTTTTCACTCGTGCTCGGCTTTTTCGGCTTGGGGGAAGGGGACGAAAGAGGTCGCAACGGCCTGTCATCGTCGGAATCGTCTGCAATGAAGCGCGTTTGTCATGAAGGGAAGACCATTTTCCCTGTTCGCAGACGCATAGACGGAGAAACGTCTTTTTGTTAATCTCTTTTCTCTTTCCGTATCCTGATCTGTTGTACATGTGCGACTCACTCGTATCTGAGAAGTCTGCCTTGCTTGTGACATGAACACCACTTTGAGCACTTACAGAGTTTGAGGTGAAGAAGGTTACTCTTGGCTCGCAAAGCGGACGTTTGGGTGCAGGGCTTCAGAGACGCTTTGTCATTAAGCTCGGGCTTGCATCGAAAAATGCTCCAAACAGACGAGTCTTTCCAGAAATCAGCGTCACGGGAAGCCTTTGCCTTTGATCCGCCTCAACAAAAAGTCATCTACAATATACTGTCCAGGATACCGTATATGGGAGCATTTGCTGCGATTCTTTTGGCTGTGTTGACTGACAACAGAGTCTGCGTATGATTGCTCTGAAACGTGGAAAAAATATCCGGAAATTTCATTGCTCACTGTCGGTCCCGCCCCCGACCCCGTCTTTGCCGCCTTTGCCGCCTTTGCCGCCGCCGCCGCCGCCGCTGCCCTTACCTCCGCTCCCGCCGCCGCCCCCGCCGCCCCCTCCCCCTCCCCCGCCCCCTTTGCCATGCTTACCCGCCCGACCCGCGCCGTTGACTAGGCCCATCCTTTGGCTTGGCCGCCTCGTCATTGCTTGCACGAGGGCCTCAACCGCTTCTCCAGCGGGCTGCATTGCGGAGCCCCCTTTGTAGTGCTTTCCAAAGTACTCACCGATTGCTCTTCTCAAGCGAGCCTTTACTGGATCGTCCATCGTGTCTGCCTGCAGCACGAAGCTCAGCGGAGCACCAAAGTGCGCGGTTGTGATCCCTGCACCATGGAGGTCCTTAAACTCCAGCAGGTATGCCTGCTTGAAGAGTCCGTCGTTGTCTGCAGCCACAGGCACTGCCTCCGTGAAGTGCTGAGAATGCCCTCTATACCCTTCCTGCAACGCCTCTACCAGCCTCAAGCCCATGACTGCTGTTGCTTGGACGGCCCTGGTCTCCCGTATCTTGGTGTTGTTTTGCACGAGGAGGTGAACTTTCGGCAGATTCACCTGGTTTGCTGTGGCCTTTGCAGCAAAGACACCAACGTCTTGCGCAACGTTAGAGAAGGGCCCTGCAATGGGCGCAGTGGCGTACAGTGTGTGGAGAACATTTTCCTGACTGCTTCCACTGAAAAGTCGTCGGAGTTGACTGGGATGATGAGCTTCTTGGTGGCCACAAGAGCTGCCTCGGTGTAGATTGTAAAGGCGGGATTGGTGTCAATGAACGCCGTCGTTTGGGACCCTTGCAAACCCTGCTGGTCGGCAAAACTCGTGATGAATTTCTCCAGGATGCGGTGGAGCATAATCCAATTGGAAACCGTGTTCTTGGCGTTCACCACCATGAGAGCGGAAAGGATCTCAAGATTCGAGTCCCCGCACAGGAGATGGATATTCTCGGGAAGCTGTGGGTTGTAGGTGTGCACATGGACCAGGAATCTGTCAAAGCTGGGAAGCGGCAGGACTGGCTGGATGCCCCCGTAACTCATAATGTAGCCCACAATCGTGCGTGGACATTGACCGTCGTCATCAACCGCCTCCCTCTGAAGGCTCACAATAGTCTGACTCCCATCATTTCTAATCCACTCCGTTGGACTCTCCGTGCCATCCTCTCTCACTTTAGCTCTGACAGAGTTGAGCAGCAGCATCGATAGGTTCGCCTGTGGATCGGCATCTATTACCAGGACTTTCTTTGAAGGGTGCTGTTGCGCATATTTGATAAGCGCATGATAGCAAAGCGTTGTCTTCCCTACACCTCCCTTATTTGTCCAGAAGCCAAAAGAGTCGGCCAGATGAGGACTCGTTTTGGCAGCAATGGGATTCATCCTGGCGGGAGAGGTGCAAGAAGCATTGAACGACGGCAGGAAAGACTTGGGTATATATCTGCCAGCAGGAATGTCTGCCAACCTGCCTTCTTCAATTTGCTGCTTCGCTTTCATCAAAGGACGGTACTCAAAGTAGGCCTGCAGGTCGAAAGGATCTTGTTTCTTCTTACTTGAAGCTAGGCGACTGAGACTGTCATGGTGGGTTGAGTGGGATGATCACCTGTGGGCCGAGGACGGCCTGCAATCGCAAGGGTGTGCAGGACTTGTGCTAGGACTCATCCGCCTAGGTACACCGTATGTTGGGATACGGTAGGTAGTCGACGCCCAGCTGCTGAAGTTGAAGTATATGAACCGCCACCAGCTGTGAGTTATACATCAGCCGACTTCAGTTACAAGCAGCAGCTGTGCTCTGACGCTACAGCAGTTAGAAACTGTCTTTGTTCAGATGTACCTATCCTATCCTGCATGCTCACTGTTAAATCTTAGGAATCCTGAAACCTGAAGCACTTGTACTTATAGGTATTGGCCAGATTGAGCTAGCTAGCTACCTAGTCGTGGCTTAGGCGTCCAATTATCAGGCTGCCAGTGCAGCGTTCATGACGTCCACGTGCTGTGCAGTGTGCACCTTTATTACGCATTGTGCACAGCTTACTGATCGTCACGTGTCCAGTATCGCGCCCCTTCTCTTCAAGGAATCCTTAGCTTGCAAGAAGATCATGAGCTGAGAGCTGAAACAATATTGGCTTTACCGGCAAGTGCATGAGCGTGCTGTTAATGCGCAATGTGAGCTTACAGCAGCCCTACCAAAGGATTCGTTCAGTGCAAAGTGCGCATCAATCATGACTGAGCAGCAACTGTCGGTGTAGGTACCGTAGTACCTACCTTAGCATGGCAGTCCAGCAGTCTGGTGGTAGGGTTGCCTACAGTATTGTATTCTGTGATTAGGTAGGGCCAGCTGGCTGCCGCACACTTCGCTGCATGATGCAACTTGCAGAGGTTGCAACAGCCGACTCACCGACTGTCAGATTACTTCGACTGGGCCAGACATGAAGTTACTCTTCGCCGGATTGCAGTTCAACGCCGACGGTTGCTCTACCAGGGGTTCTAGCAGGATTTTGCCCGGAGGTGCCGTGGCGCCCCTGGGCTTCGCCCCGGGGCGCTGACCAGCTTGCCTGGGGCGCCCAAGCCCGGGCGCCAGCGCCCGGTACAGTAGGCATTCTGGCGGAAGCTGTGTTTAACCGAGCCGAATTCGTGCATACCGGTCCTGGGCTGCCTCCTGTGCCTCAAGACGTCTGTCTACAGACTACGGTATACGGACCGTATAACAAGCAGTCGGCAAAAAGTCAAAAAGAATCCGTGCCCTCGTATCCAAAGCAGGTCCTACTATAGGAACAATTGCCTTTATCGAAGCATATCCTTGCAGATTTATCATGAAACTTGGCTAAGTGTAGAGAGCTCGACTTGAAATTCGTAGCATTTTCAATTCACTGCAAGTGCTTATCTCCACCTCCTGGAACCATATGGGCTTCCGTTGTGTCCTCATATGTGCAATTGCTCTTATAATCTGTACTTGGAAATCAAATTCAAGAGTTCCCGGTTGAGGCGGCCTGGATCCTAGTACTTCTCAAAAGTAGGCGGGGCCTGCGGCCCAGGGCGCTCTGGCGCCCCGGGCTTCCGCCCGGGGGCGCCAGGATTTGCCCCGGGGCGCTCTGCGCCCCGTTTGGCGCATCAATCCGATCCTGGACGGCGGCAGAGCCAGCCGTCCGATTGGCCCGGTGACCGTCCGATTAGATTCCCCCCTGCTCAGTTGAATCAGATTAAGTTACTGATCGACGGCTTATAACTTATTGAAACGTCGACGGATTCGCAGTCTTGGCCCCAGGGACGTCCACAGCCTCATGCAGCAGGTCTCGCAGATCGAGTCGAGAAAACAAGACAGTATACCTACCTATCATCATGCATTGCAGCGCTCTCGCAGCGCTGCAGCCAGGCCTCTGCGACAGTAACGACAGGCGGCCAGAGCAGCCTGCAAGTGTTACACCCCGTACAGTCAGAGGTGCCCGGCCGCTGCTTCGAGGGGCTTGGAGCGGAGGGGCGGTCACTACCCCCTGAAATTGGCATGTCATGGAAGAGAGCCGCGTCTATCGAAGGGCTATGAGAACTGCCTCCAGCCATGACGCCGGTTATAGGTGAAGGGTCCCATTAAATGCTTGCCTGGTTATGTGATAGGCTATTGCAAAAGCCCGGGCTGGTGGTAGGGCCAGAAGTGGCATACGTGGTTGGTTTCTGACTCTGATTTTGAGTCAGAAGCAAGAAACGGAGTGCTTTTCGTCTCGTTGTCGTACAAATTGGTCAAATTGGCTTCCAGATAGTCGAAAAGCGAGAGGAAACGAGACAGATGAAACGGTTTGGTTTTAGAAAAGGGGTTCAAAACGAGGCATTCAGCGGCCGGGTTATGCCAAAGGGTACCATAAATGGATCAGGAGAGGTTTTAGCATAGGGTCTCGTTTCTGAGCGTGCAGACGCGCCTCTATTCCAACCTTTGGGGGTAGTGACTCGGACCGCCCCTCCCTTGGAGCCTCCCAGCAGCTACCTATATATGTCTTGTGCGTGCTAGGACTCGACAATGAGAACAGTGGGAACGATAAGGGAGTGATGAGTCTCAGGTGGGGCTTTGGCAGCAGACGGCAGCTCATGGTCTTACAGACTCTCATTTGAACATTTTCCTTGCCTGGCCTTCCGCCATTTGGATGGCTACTAGATCATTAAACCCAAATTAATCATATTTCAAAGCAAGAGTCTTAGGATCTCATTTGAGGCACTAGTGTCTTTAAGCACTAATGCGCAGATTGTCTAGCAGACTGCCAAGCTGACAAGCACAGTACCTAGAAGATTCGAGTTCAAGTTGGGAGGGCGCCTATCCACACGTGCGTCATTCCGCCATGGCACGTGACGTCCGCGCATGCGAGGTCTGCGCTTATCCGGACCTCCGACTGCCAGCCGAGTACGAAGCACATGTGACCGTCTGCCGGGAGGATGCAAGGATGCGAGTGGAGCTGCGTGAGCAGATAGATTCAGTCCGGGACCTTGATGCGGTGCTCGATGAAATCAACCAGGCAGAAGAAGCTGAGGCACGTCGCCTCCGTGGGCCGGATCTTTTGAGCAGCGAAGCGGCTCCAGAAGACGATCAGCTGGATTTAGCCATAGCACACAGTCTACAGGATGAATTTGACAGCCGCAACCCGCAGGAAGAGGCGGATCGGCTGATTGCAGAGCAATTTGCGCAATTCGGCTCACAGCCAATGATTGAGAGCGATGATGATTCCGACTTGGAAGCAGCCCCTGTTGCGGACCCTGGCCCAAGCACCCGCCAAACCAATCAGAGAGCGCCACGTCAGCACGGAGCCGAAGCAAACCCGGGCCCCAGTACATGCGGACCCAATGGGGCGGCGCCACGTCAGCACGAGGCTGACGCGCTCTGGACGGACGGCCAGCTCGCCAAGCCCATGTTCCTCTTCGAGAACGTAGTCAACGCGCCACGTGGCACCTGGAGAATCATCGAGAAAGAGCTCGAGCTGCCCGCTGAGGCGCTCAACTCCGACCTCTTCTCGGCATGTCAGCGCGCGCGCAAGTATGTGCACAACCTGCCCCCCCACCCGCGCACACCGGTGCCCGACCCGAGGAAAGAGCTCATCACCATGCAGTCGGTGCTGCCCCCCAGCCACCTCCGAGGCACTCCCCCCTGGGACAAGCGCAAGAAGCTGCGCTGCATCAACACGCAGACGATCTGGCCCCGCCGGCTGGCGTTTCTGAACAACGAGCTGGCAACGCTGGGGGAGGCGGCCCCGCCCGCCAAGTCTCTAGAAATGATTGCGTACCACAACCTGGCGTGGGTGGCGGGCGGCCGGCTGCGGCGGCTGGAGGCGCGCGAGATCGAGACGGTCATGGGCTTCCCGGAAGACCACACCGCGTGCTTTGGCTCGAGCGTCGAGAGGGTGAAAGCGCTCGGGGAGTCGTTTCAAGTGGATACGGTGATGCATCTGCTGTCGCCGCTACGGGGGCGGGAGCGAGAGGCGCATCCGGACGGGCTCAGCGTTCTCTCGCTTTTCGACGGCATTGGGGCGGCGGCGGTGGCCCTGGACAGACTGGGGATCAAGGTGCGGCGGTACTGGACGTCCGAGATCAATGCGGACGCTCAAGAGGTAAGCTCGATTCCTTTCAGCTGAAAGTGACTGGGTTCAACCTGGAACTATGTAAACGACTCCTTCAGAGGCAAGCCGCTAATGAAACGGCTTCCCCTTCCTTCTTTGAAAATGTATGGACGAAGAAAGATAGCGGCAATATGTAAGGGATTCGTTTTTTGATCGCCGGTGTCTGTGAGCGGCGTGTCAGGACGTTGACCCAAAATTGTAGCTCTGACATTCGTTTGTGCTCGAACTACGCTTAGCAATGCCCAGTCGATGCCAAACAGCGGTCGTACAGGCAATCTTTCAACATCTCTGAGTGATTCATTCTTATCTGGCTTGGAGTTTCTACCACCGGCCGTTCATCATGTGGGACCAAAAAGGAGCGCTCAAATGTTCTCCCGGGCTCCACCAATGAAACATAGGTGGACAACTTTGACACACATCGTAGAACACAATTGAATAAGCTTTCTGAGATCCACGAGCATCTCTTGTACAGGCCGTTTCCCTAAGGTGGAGATCCAACGAGAAGCCGCCTGACGCACTCCAACGCCTGGGTGACGTGACGACCATAACAGACGAAAAGCTGAGGCAAATGGTCGATGAAGAGGGGGGCATCGATCTCATCGTCGGCGGAAGCCCCTGCAACAACCTGACGGGAAGCAACCGGGTGTGCCGGGACGGCCTGGAAGGAGTTCAGTCCAAACTCTTCTACGAGTACGTCAGAATTGTGCAAACGACGATGCGGCTTTACCGTGAGCGAGATTAGCTTGACAGTACTGGTAGTTTGAACTAGTGCACTTGCGTAATGCCGCAGACAGAACTGCTTGACGAGCTGAATCCGGGAACAGGTTTAGTGAGCTAGGGCCAGCGTCTTGTCGAAAAGGTTGACTAGACCATAAATTGCTTACCTGACTTTGCCGCTCGAAAGTATCTCGAGCCGACTGACCGATTACATTCAGTGGGCGCTTTCGCCAATGCCAGTAAGGGTCAAATTCTCCGATTCTGCTGAGTTCCACATCATTCACCAATCGGTAGCCTGCTTGTATGGAGTGAAGGGGAGCCTCTTGCATTAGTCTCTCCTCAAGCTTGCGCTTTTGAACCCTAGAAGCTGGAGTTGATTTGCGCACTCGACTTCAAGAATCACAACATGTGTCGAACCAGTAACGACGATACATGTTCTTCTTTGCGACTGTGTCCAAGTCGGGACTGAGGAAGGACGAAAGGATCGAGTAAAACATGCTTAGGAATGATCAGAAAATAGCTGCTGCTTGCATACGCAGTTGACGGCCAATAGCGCGCATGATAAATCCACGCCGCCTACAGTAGTACTTACGTTGGTAGATAAAGTGAAGCGTTTCAGCTTATTGAATAGAGCCTACCCGATAAGCATGAGGGCCCCCGGATGTCATTGAGAAGTAACCACTGTACGTCGACCCTCAAGCAACTCTTCTGAATCAAGTATGCCCACTTTTTACCCCTCTAGTATCGACCCATTGCTTCTGCCCATGAGCGGTGATAGAAGTCGTACCCTTCTTCTCGAGTCTCTTTGTGTTCTTTCTCTGTTTCTCAGCTTTGCAGAGGGGACGCATTTATACGCTCGTCCGGTCAGGATTCAGAAGACAGTTCTTCGCCGCTCGTTTTCCAAAAGGCTACTTTTGAGGGCAGGCCATTTTGTCCCGAGCACCGCCGCGCACTCCCCTGGGCAGCACACCAACCGGTTGCTCTGGCTGTTGACGAATTTGGTGGGTCGGGACGAGTTGATGTCGCAGCCGGTGCTTCGCTTGTGACGTACTTATCACGCGCAGCTAGATGCTGACCACAGGGACAGGCCCGGCTTTACGACTCGGCCCGCTCCAGGAAAAGGGAGATACGTCGACAGCGCAGATGGGAGGCGCTGCTGCGCGATGGATTGTAGGGCACTGTATGAAGGAATTGTGAACGCGTGGAGTATAACGATACTCTACAGCGCCGCCATTATTGATCACAGCGGTAGGACAGAGACTCGAAGTGCTCTGTATATCGAAGTTTTTTTGTGTATTGGTGCGATGTGTCAAAACTCCTCTTGGTATACTCCGTTGGCCCAGACGTTCTGGTTAGTCAAAGAGATGCAGCTTGAGAAGAAGGGAGCTACCTACCGCAAGCCGAAGCGGGGGAGCAAGTGAGTCTAAACTTACTAGAAAGCCGCGGACGCGGACTCAATCTCGGTGTACGTCGGATTCGGACCATCCTGGAGGAAGACATTGGTAATACTGCCAAGGGCAGGCGCGTTTTGGCAACGAGTGAATGATGGTCGATCTCCGATTATGAAAAGATGAAGAGGGGCAGACTCTATCGTACTGTTCGATTTGAGGACCTCTAGTTCACACCAGGGTTCTGAAGAAGGAGTGCAAAGAACGTTCTCTAAAGCATCCTTACGAAGCAAGTAGTCATAGGGGGACGACTACTTGCGGGATAGCGGGAATCATGCAGCAGATGTGGTGAAGTCAATTGAGCAAACGTGGGGCACTCTCAGTCGCAAACGGGGCAGTGGACACATGTACTTGTAATGGATCTATGAATGACGAACTTTTCGGATTTTCATTTTCCGTTGTCTCAAATCTCACGTCCGTCATGACTAATGCAGATTCCTTTGGAGAAGCCTGCAGCATGCGGTCTTAAACTGAAATTGCTTGTGTTCGTTACCGGCGATCGAAGCTACATATCTGATTACTGATCATGTTGACAGCCGTCGTCAAGCGTTTAATCTGAATGTTTGTATTCTGGGCCAAGTTAGAGCGCGCACTGATCCTCCACCCGGCACAGGCAGATTCGCACAAGCCGAGCGCCTCGAGCTATCAGATCAATATTTTCAAGCTCGGTAGCTTGCCTACAACGATTTTCTGTGCAACGGATAATGCTTCCTTATACGTGGTACAACGGACGCAGGCCGCTTCGAAAGGTTCCGGCCTAAACATCAGTGATGGTTCTGTCCAGCGCCGGAATGTCCAAAGCCTGAGTAAGTCGTATTCTTTCAAGCGCTAGCCGCTTGTGCCCGCATACCGTCTGCATACTGTGCCTCCGTTTCACCAGGCTGAAAACTGGAACCATAGACTGGCAATCACTGTCTGCACGCGGCGGAATCAGACCTAGTGACCCGCGCCGGCTACCCCGGGTGCTTTGTCCACGTGGTGCACGTGGCCTGTACACCGGCTGGGGATCATCCGATCCCGACGCCCGCAAAGTCGTTAACTGTACGGTCAAGCCGAGGGTCGGCGAATCGGCGATGCGACTTCCGTCACCGCGACTCGGAGGCTGCCAGTGTCGACGTGACGCCCGTAGGACGTCACAGAGGGAGTGCTCAGTCAAACAGTACGCATACTGAAGGGAGTGCGCAACAATAGCCCACTGACTGACACGGGCCAGTGCAGGAACTTGGGAAACCATGTCACGTCGAGAAAAGCTGTCGCTGCAGTGTGGATTGATGGGCGACGTTTGTGATTGCATCTGCCAAGAATCTGGTGGAGATGCACGCACCACGCCTTGGCTCAAAGAGGTACTTTCAGTAGAGTAAACTTTCAGTAGAGTAAAGTACGGGCGCCTTCATCACAAGTTGTTTGCGTTTCTCGGAGTGACCTGGGATCTTCCTGAAAGAGGATTTTCATCAATGTCCGGCCCAAGCGCCCTCTGTTCAATCGCTTCTCCTATTGAGGAACTGGCACTTGCGAGCTGACGTTGACGCCTCCTCCGAACTCTGATCAAAACTCGTCGGCATCTTTTCTGGCCGTAAAAGTAGTCGGCAAAAGTAAATATTCTGCCATGGCGTCGTTGAACAGCGACGAGCAGCCTCTCTTCCCGCCAAGTTCCAGCGCCAACGCAGCGCTTGATCACACCTCCAATGAGCGGCAAACAGTCCAGGTTCTGAGCTCCAATGGTATTCTGCTCAAGTCCTGGCAGATCTTCCGTCGTGGAGGGTTCATTTTTCTGCCTCTCGCGGTTTTCCTGCAAGTCATGACCTACGTTTCCTTGCCCTGGTTCGCTCTGAACGGCAATAACTGGGCTTCCCCGCTTGTCCGCTTTTTCACGCTCGTTGGCGCGCTAGGATTGACCCTGGTACTGACGATGGAGACGGCCCTTGCCGTGTATGTCACGCGCAAGGACTTCCAAGGAGATGGATCCCCCTCAACCGCACGGATTCAAGCCTCTGAGACCCTGGCTGGTAGCAATATTGGAGGGCCGTGGCAAATCTGGGGAACGAGTGTCATCAACAGCGTGATACTCTACGGGCTGGGAACTGGCACGTTTCTTGCCGTAGCCCGCGTATTCTTCACCTTGTTTCCTTGGTTCAGCCCGCGTAAGTTTCAGTAATCTGACAGCTGGCAATTCGAGCACTGCTATGTTGCAGGCAATCAGATTTAGAGACCGGTTGAGAACGAGAGGACTCAAAAAGTCAACGCCTGCATTATCTACGTTGTCTACCATGTATTGGCAGCTTCTTGTGAGAGTCGATCATGAAAAGCTGCCCTTCTTTATGAAGAAGGGGCGGTCTTCTGTTAGGAGATCCCACACTTTGAATGCTCTCCAACCAGCTTGCCTGATTCCCTGCTTCATTCATATCCAACAGAATTTACCAAGACTCAATCGAAGGTCAAACTATAGCCAGGCTTCGCTTGCTGTGTTTCATTCTGTGTTACATCTGCTTGCATCAAAGGCAGTCAACCAGCTCACAGGGGATCGCAAACAACCTTCTGTAACTTGAGCGTGTGAGCCCCCTGAGTGCAACTCGTTGACAGCCTCGTTTGCAAGAACCAGAGTGCACGATACAAAGGCACACACCTGAAGTTGACCATTCTCGCCTAGAAAAAGGGGACCCAATCAAGCGTACACCAACAGTACCGGATCCTGGTTAAACCCCGCGCATGTATTCTGAACCAGTGGTCTCTTTTCGCAGAACCCCCCCACACGCGCCTAGAGGTCGCCCTTTTCTTCCTGTTCTGCATCTCGTTGATTACGCTGACCACCTCGCTAGGCAGCACCCTGATCCTCGCACTGCCAGCAGCGTTCATCGAGGGAAGCACAAGCATCGCTTCCAACCTACGGAGCGTGCGACTGGGAAAGGGCCAACGCCTGCAGATGTTTGGCCTTTTTGCATTCAGCCTGATGTTCAACCCCCTCGTTGATTACATCTTTCTTGGGTTTACGCCCCATCTGTGGGGTTCCAGTTGGGTGGTTGTGGCGACAGTTCTGGGGTTTTTGGCCATGGGCCCAGCGGTTGCGTACTTTCAGGTGAGCCCTGAACAGCAAAGGCGGGCGGCCACAGCCGTTTGGATGATGGCGACAGATGTTTCCAGAATGCGGCCAATCGCCGCTGATTTGGATTCCAAACGCCTTCTCTAGTTATCTCCGCTCGCTTCGCGCTGTCCTCCTCTCGATATTGTCGTTCTTTTGTTTTTCGTCCTCGTTTCGTCTTTGTTACTTCATTTTCTAAGTGATCCTCGTGTCGTCGAGCCCAAGGTCAGACGACTGTCGTTTTGCAATCGTCCAGAACTGACCATCAATTACAGGAATTATAGACTTGAGAATGCGGACAGCTTGACTGGAACAATGGCGCATATGAATGATGTCAAGCGAGAAGAGAAGCTAGCCAGCTTTGCTTTGGCTTCAGCACTGGCACAATCGTCCCCTTCTGTAGTTCTACTTCTTACTTTCCCTTCCAACTGTCAACATGGGCAGATCCAAAGATGCCAGTAAAGGTCAGGAGATCCCCCTGAATTCAAGTTGGTGACTCTATCTTGAATATGCTGGGGCCTGTCCGTGAAGTCGTCTTTCCTGATGTTTCATTTTTGTTCCCGTTGAATATAAGCGTTGCGGCTTTACAGCATCGTCAAAGAGCATGGACAATATCGACCGTTCAAACGTCTCTTCTACGAGTCGGTCTCAATTGCTTAACAGATCGTAGGCATCATGCTTTGCTTTTGGAAAAAGCTTTCGACTTACAGCTTTCTCTAACACGTGTGACGCGCAAACTTTCAACGCTGTTGCGCTCGTGGGCTGTGCAGGTTGTTTGGGTGGTGGCTTATCTTTCGGCTCGGAAAAGAGAGGATCCAACATTCGCGTGGCCCTCAGCGGAGGAAGCCTTGTTAGTTTAGGACAACGTATGGCATATCTCGAGTCGCATCAGTTGAGCCAGAACCAAGCTCTCCTGGGCGCTTGTGCACTATGTACTATAAAACCGTCTCTTCGTTTTTAAACTGTCCGAGAGTGTTTTTTGATTGCAAGATTTCGAGGTTCGATTCACTTGAGTGTAGATGCCACTTCGACCGAGCTCTCAGTACACGCCTTTCAACAACGTAACATGCCAGACATTCGAGCGCTGACGTAAGCCGACTGGGTACTTTCCAACAGGCTTCGAGTTCGTGACAAGAATTGTACTTAATCATATTGTACCCAATTATAGCGCGTGGCAGTTGTACCAGCATTTCGGTTCTTTGCACGCTTTGTTGAAGCCGCGGCCGGTCTGGTGCTGGCCCTCAGGATTGGTAAGACCTATGTTTTGAGCTGCAGCAAGACTCTAGCTTGCTGGACACGCGGCCGTTTGGAGTATCTCGCCGTGTCATGACAGCAGCGATCGTTCGGTTCAACAAGTTCCTTAGTAAGGTCATTTAATAGTGTGTGTCGCGTCAATAGTGACAGGCCGAAAAAGTATGCTAACGATTCAATAGCATAATCGTGCATAAGTGTGCGGATTGCCGCGATGAATCCGCTGAGCTAGCTAGACGAGCGATTGTGTTTGGGAACGTCATGGAGCGCTTGCGGTAATATATAGGCTGCATATACAATAATATGATATTCAGTACACGACCATGAATCATTCGCGATGATGCCAGGAATAGGCGTGGAAGGGCGCGGGGCGTGACGCGGAATCTTGACGGGACGTTCGACATTTTTGCCATTCCCTAACTTCAGCATGGGGCCAGGCTAGGCATGCACCAGGCCGCTCATTTTATGACATGAGGCGACTCAGCCACCGAGCCGTCGATCAGGCTCAGTGTATCAGTCACGCCTGCACAACGAAACCTTGTACTCCAGACGGTACTTTTCTCCCTCTTTTGCAGCCCCACAGGACGTACTGCTCACTCGCGCCGCGGCCTAATCTATAGCCTGACACTTTTTGATAAATTGGCCCATGGCAGCTTGGTTTATGCACGTCCCACATATACTGAGTCAGTGCGCGCGGTATTCAAGCAAAGTACGCATGGAACTTAGCGCATGGTGCACTGATCAGCATATGTGTATTGATGCAGTGCAGTGAGGGCGGCCGGGCCGGTTGCGCCGCCCAAGTTGTGCTGCTTTCAGTCACCCGCTGGCATGCATCGTTTACCGTCGATCAAGATATTCAAAAGCAAAGTATATGGGTCAAAACGGATGATATTGATTTTGGGACTCACTTAGTCCAACGGTCCAGACGACAATCTAGGACTTCCTTGGGATCCCTGTGTTTAATGAAGTGCCCTCGAAAACATCATTCTGTACGGCTAGCCAAAACGGGCATCCACAAACGCTGATTCTAGATCCGACAAGGCAGCATTCGCGACTGCCAACTCATCTTTACTTGATCACGACCGTAACCCTGCGTGCTATCTTGTACGATGCCCCGCAACACACTCTCTAGACTGAACCCGCGCCGCCGTTCTGCTCCCCCCCGGGCAGAGCGTGGTAATCCGAACCCCCGTCACGGCGCCGGGCCGACTTCGACCGCGCGAACATGGGCTTGCGAGGCACAGGCACGCATTTCAAAAGCGCGGCAATGGGCATGCTGAGGAAACCGAGGCCGACGCAGATGGCCCAGAATTTCAGGGAGAGGGGGGTAGTGGACGCGATTTGACCCACAAAGCCCCCCACTTGGACCAGGAGGGACTGGACCAGGACTGTGAATGCAATGACCCCCAGGAAGACGTGGTTGCCGATCAGGTTGCGGAAGATGTTGATGCGCTCGGTGTGGCGGGCGTTGAACTCGTTGAAGACCTGCAGAAAGGCGTGAAAGAAAGATTCGACATTATAGCAACATTGCCCTGCAGTCACTCAACCGTCAAGTTGCGAGCACAGTACCGGGGGCGCAAAGGTGGGACCCCTGTCCAAGACCGGGTTCTTCACAACGACCATGATTGATCTACTGCCACGACTTCAAAACCTTTTCGATGCCCACAACGATCGCGTCTGCTATATTGAACCGGCACAGAACAACGCGTCCATGGCAGCTGTCAAAAGTGCGGGTCCGGCTTGCAAGAAACCCCTGATTTGAGAAGGAAGGTGTCACCAACACGCAAAAGCAGAAGCAGCTGCCCGCCTCTCTTCGGTGACCTTGAAGGGACCCTACATTTACGCGATCTACCATCTCAAGAAAAAGACAACTCTCCAATCCCTCCATTGGGCTCAGCACAAAGATGCATCAAAGATGACCGTCTGCAACACCAGGCCATCAATGCTCTAATCCTAGGTGCAAAGCCCAAACTCAGTGACTCGAACCACCAAAAAAGAACTTCAGTACAGGCCGACAATCGTCAGAACTGAAGCCCTTCACCTGGCATAATATGAATCTGTTGACGATGAGAGTCTGCAACCGGGCTTTCAGTTTCCAAGTGCAAAGCCCGAACACAGTGACTCGATCCACCAACAAAGAACTCGGTCAAGGTTAAAAAAGAAATCGCCCCTCACCTGGCACAGCACGAAGCTGTTGGGATGACCGTCTGCAGCACCAGCGTGTCGTGCTCTAGATTTGAAGTGCAGAGCGTAGGCATAGACTAGAATGAGATTTAGGAAGAACGTCAGTGAGAGTCGCAATCAATGAAAACACGGACCCCGTCCCCTCACCTGGCACAGCACGAAGCTGTTGAAGATGACCGTCTGCAGCACCAGCGTGTCGTGGTCCGACTTGCCGAGTCCCAGCAGCTTGCGCCCCTCAAACTGCAGCACGAGCAGAACCACCAGCTGGTACGCAGCCATGCCGAAAATGTTGCGCCACATGATGTTGGTGATGAGGCTCGAGTGGCGCCCGACGGGGGCTTGCGTCATCAGCTCGTCGGTGGGGGGCTCCGTGGCCAGCGCCAGGGCGCCGAGGGTGTCCATGATCAGGTTAACCTGCGGGGTTTGAAGGTTGGTTAAGCAGGTGGAATGCCGCGGTTGTCAGGTGGTTCGGAAACGAGTTACGCTGGGCTTGTCATGAGCTCATCCGTGAGGGGCTCCGTGGCCAGGGCCAGTGCGCCGAGGGCGTCCATGATCAGGTTGACCTGCGGGGGTTTAAGGGTTGGTTAAGGAGGTAGCGGGGCGGGGTTTAGGGCTGGTTCGGGTGTGGTTAAGCTGGGCGTGTCACGAGGTCGTTGGTGGGGGGCTCCGTGGCCAGGGCCAGTGCGCCCAGGGTGTCCATGATCAGGTCAACCTGCAGGGTTTGAAGGTTGGTTAAGCAGGTGGAATGGACGAAATATGGAAAGAAGCATCTAGCCGCTGAAGCTGTGGGTTTAGATATGGTATGAAGCTATTAAGCAGGGACTCAGCCGGTCTGAGGGAGTCCGCCTGAAGGAGGCTTTTCTCGCTTGGGGGCCTTTTAGGCAAGCGCACGTACAGTAACAACGATCAACCTTGATTTGCAGGGGAAACAAATGACCAAAAAGCTCAAGTCTCAAAAACAAGCAGTGCAGCGTCGAGAAGCCCAGACACACTTCACGCACCACTATCACATGCGCAGTTCCTTCGAGCATTGACTAAACCGACTTTTGGATAAGAAGCCGTTCAAAAGAAGCCAACTAGTAACCTGATATCCCAGCAATCGATTCCGCAAAGATCGCTCACCCAGAGCAGCTGCACGGCGGTCAGCGGCGCCGCGCCCGTGATCGCGGCCGAAATGAAGTTGAGCATCAGCGCGACGATGTTGACCGTCAGCTGGAACTGCACGAACTTCTGGATGTTGGCGTAGACCGAGCGGCCCCACTTGGCGACGTTCACGATGGTGCTGAAGTTGTCGTCCAGAATGACGACGTCCGCGCTCTCCTTGGCGACCTCCGTCCCGGCGATGCCCATCGCGAGCCCGATGTCGGCTTCGTGCAGCGCGGGGGCGTCGTTGGTGCCTGCGGGGCGGGTTAAATGTTGGTGGAAAGCAGATTCAAAGCTAGGTTGAAGCAAGACTTTGCGGGTTTGGGGGCGACGACTCGCCCCCAAACGCTTGGTCGCCAGATGCCGGTCCACGTTAAGTGAGCGTTGGTCGTGCTTGCGAGTTTGAAGATTCATCTTAACGACTGTAAGTGGAGGAGACGGGTCGAGGTTCAGAATATAGTGCTCTTTCTGGCGACCTCCGTCTTGGAGATCTTCATTGCAAGCCTCCCGGATGCGTTCCTCGTGCACCACAGGGGAGTCGTTTGTACCTGCGGAGCTGAGGTCGTGCCGACGCCTCTACACGGAATCCAATTGTTGCTAGCTTGGGATGCACGCGGCTGATCATTCTGGACTCCTCGGGGATACTTTATCTACATACTTCAAGCACAGTCGCGCAAACTTTCCGCCAGAGCGTCCCACAATCGAGATCAACCGCGGGTTTGAGTTGTCGTAGAGGAACTTCATTAATTCTGGACTATGGACGATGCTAAGCAAATCTCACATATTCGGAAGTCAAAATTGTTAAATACCAAGCTGAGCTAGCGAGACAAAGGACGCACCGTCCCCTGTGGCGGCCACGACCTCTCCGTGCGCGCGCAGATGCTTGACGAGCAGGTTCTTGTCCGTGGGGCTCGAGCGCGCCATCACCCGCAGCTTCGGCACCAGATCCCGCATCTGATCCTCCGACAACTCTCTGAACTTCGGCCCCTCGATGATCTCGCCCCCCTGGTCAAGAATCCCAATTTCCTTTGAGATCGCCTGCGCGGTCGTCAGGTTATCCCCCGTCACCATACGAACCACGATCCCCGCCTTGTGACACAGCTTGATGGAGTTTTTCACCCCCGGTCTGGGGGGGTCCTTGATGCCCACGATCAGCTGGCAGATCAGCTTGTCTTCGGGTACAGAATCCCCCCCGGGAGAGGAAACTTCGCGGTAGCCAAACGCGATGGTTCGCAGACTCGCCTTGGCCATGTCTTCGATCACCTTCAGCAGCTCGTCCTTCTTTTCCTTGGTTAGCTTAACCGGCTTGCCCTGGTTATCAGTCACCTGGTCGCACAAACCGAGCACGATCTCGCTCGCGCCCTTCCAGTGCACGCGCGCTTTCCCATTCTTCTCGACGATCACTCCCATCCGCTTCTTGGCGGAACTGAACGGCTCCGTGTTGAGGACCTTGCCGGACGATCGGACGCCCTTGAAGTCCGTTTTGATTGCGAGCGCGAACTTGAGGATTGCCGCCTCGGTAGGCGACCCCGAAACTTCGGGTTCGGATTCCCCCTCGGGGACGTAGACGTCGCCGGACGTGTTCTGTGAGACGGGTGACACATGTCAGAATGGTATCAGCAAGATGTGCTTGTGGGCGACTGGGCTCATTAGCGGTCTTGCATACAAAGAAGTGGAAAGTCTTGTGCTTCCACTTCAAGAGGAGCCATTTTCTGACAAGAGCTTTCAGGTCCGGCACAAGTACAGTCGGAGTCCAACAACGAGGAACAAAAGGATGCCAAATTTACCATGCCAATTCTTTTCCCTGACACCTGAAATCATTTCTTAAGAGAAACGAGACATGATATCCGCTGAAAAACCGCAAAGCTTGGCGCCCGTCATTCCCAAAATCGGCCTGGTACAAGCTTCTTCCAGACATTGCAAGTCAGAGGGCACACAATCCCTTGTTGGCGTATTGATGTTGCTGGGGGCCCCTAGAGACACCCCCTGAGACAAGCGAGAATCCAACAGCTTCCAGAACCTTGGGTCTGATCACCTCAGACAATCTGAGGGAGTCATCGACATGTTCGCCGAAAGGTTTTTCGAAAGAGACCTCTCAAAAAACTTTCAATCACAGGTCTCAAAACGTCCCTGGAAATGTCATCAAACACACGCAGAGAAAAGTAGAGATACTTTCAGTGGGCGTTCCAGGACTCTTACGTAGCACATCGCCTCAGTAAGGATCTCCAGCGCTTCTTTTGGGAGCTCCTTGACGGCGCCTGCCGGGTCATCGTGGACCTTCCCCGAAACCCAGGCCTTAACCACAGTCATCTCGTTCATGGTAAGCGTGCCCGTCTTGTCGCTGCAAATGGTGGTCGAGGAACCCATGGTCTCGCACCTGCCAACGGCGTTCAGATTTAAGTTAGCGCGTCCGTTTTCTGAAACCTTATCCTATACAGGAGAGCCTGCAGTCAAGAAATTCAGTCGCGGGTCAACCTGGAGGTTGATACCTCGACCAAGTAGGTATCTCTCCCGTTGTTCAAACGAAGGTTTCCTCGGAGGCTCCTTGTCATTTCGGGGTGCTTCTTCGCGTCAAAACTTCTGAGCTCAGAGCAGTGTACCTGTGCCTCTTCGCGTCAAAATTTTTGAGCTCAGAGCAGTGTACCTCGGCCTTTGATACACGAATGCAGCCCCAAACGAGTCAATGTGCCCTTGTTGCATCTCATTTTCCCAACTTACAAAATCCTAATCCCTAACACGAATTTCCATCATCCCCAAGCTCCACAAAAGAAAGCACAACGCCGAGCACATCTCCACCCCCAGAAGACAACAGCCGTGATCAACAAAGACATGAAACCGCTTAGCAGTCGACTGAATAGGTGCTCAATTGATGGAGAACGGCATTTGCCACTCACGCGCTGAGGTGGCGCACGAGCGCCTTCTGCTCCATCATCTTGTGCATGGCAAACGCGAGCGTGAGCGTGACCGCGAGCGGCAGCCCCTCGGGAACTGACACCACGATGATCGTGACTGCGATCGCGAAGAAGTTGACGACCTCGAGCGTGTCGCCCCCGCTCCAGTCGGAGAAGTCAAAGTTCTTCTTGTAGAGGAATTTGCCGATGAGGATGAAGAAGACGAGCACGGCGACCGAGAGGCCCAGCTTGCCGATCATGGTCGCCACCGAGTTGAGGCGCACCTGGGAGAGGAGATTATTGGAAATCAGTGGAGAGTTAGAAGAAGCTTTGGGGTGGGTTATGAGATGGTAAGGAGAATCATCGACACATCTGGAGGCCAAGCTTGTCAACTGTGTTCGGCACTGAAGTCAGGTGTCCTATGTACGAGTAATTCAGGGATTTACAAGAGATAGGTTCAAGCGCTGACTTGGAAAGCGGGGTCAAGAAGTTTCAGCGAATTCTGGGACGGCAAAGATGTGGGGCAAGAGGCACTGCTTCCTTGAGTAATCGCTTTCCGCTGGCGACCCTTCGCAAGAAATGCCGCCTTTAAGACCAGAAACAAGAAGCCACGATTTTGAATGGTCGTAAGCGTGCAAGTCCCAGACACCCCTGCACTCCCTTCGCAATCCTACTTTTGTTGGCTTGTTTAAGCTCCCTTTGCGGTAAAGCCCCTTTCGCCATGCATGCCTCAACTCGCACAACTTCCTCCTCGAAGGCTTTCTTACGTGTTCTGGCAGTGTCGTTGGCTCAGCAGTAGCTGCATTTTGCTATTTACAACTTTTAGAAAGATTCATCGGCAGATTGCTTCAATCATCATAGAGGTAATCTCGAGATAATTGAGTGTCTTTGAACTCGGCGCCCTTACCTGCAGCGGTGTCTCCTCCGTATCATCGCTGCTCAGCGTCGACATCAGCCGGCCCCACTCAGTGTTCATCCCCACCGCCACAATCATCATTCTGCCCCCCCCATCCGCAATCTTGCACCCGGACATCAGGAACGGCTCGTCAGGGCCCTTTTTCTTGGGCTCGCTCTCGCCCGTCATCTGGGACTCGTCGACCGTCAGAGAGTTGCTCTCGACCACAACTCCGTCTGCAGGGACTTGGTCGCCGATAGACAGGTGGACGATGTCACCAACCACCAGGTCGAAGATGAGGACCTTCTGGCGCCGGCCGCCGCGCGTGACCTGCAGGGTTTGGTCAGCATAGGGTTAGCTTAGGTTGCGACTGATTGGCAGGTGAAGTTTCGCTGTAGCTCACACGTCAGCATGTCGTAAGTGGCCTCAAGTCGCCGCAGTCAAGCTCATATTTTTCGGTAGACTGATGTTACTCTAGCTCGGATCTGCTGCGTAAAAGGATCTGAGTACGTCAGACGATGATTCGATTTGCATCGTTGTGAAAGGTAATTTTGAAAGTAGTCTAGATGAGGCCCTGAAACGACTTTGTCCTCCTCGTTAGTAGTGCATCCTCGTTCTTCCTCCCTCTTCTCGGGGAGGAGTGAGTGCACCGTTGTGCTCGTCTGTTCAAACAACTTTCAAATCCTAGGTCTGGAAGTCATGTGCCTGCTCATATCTACAATGGTATCTACAGCTTTTTTTAAAAAGAAGAAGCACATTCGTTTGACTCACCGGAGCTATCCTCTCTGCTAAGTCAGCAAACGAATCACATCAGAGCTGGCAAAAGAAAGGCTGTGAAAGTAGAGAATTTGTTCCAAAGGGACATTACCAACCATTTCAATGAGCAGAACGCCACTCACATTGATGTAGATCTTCTGCTTCTCCTTGTTCAGGCTCTGGAACTGCAGGCTCTGCTGGTAGTCCGTAATGGCCGTCACCATGACCACCAGCGTGATTGACACCAGGATACCTGCCCCATCGTACCACCCGCTCTCGATCCCCTCCGTCGCAATCCCAACCGCCAGCGAGATGAATGCGCACACCATGAGCACAAACAGCGTCACGTCCTGGAACGCCTCCCAAAGAAATACCAAGAACCCCTTGCTCGCTTTCTCGGGGTACGTGTTGGAGCCAAAGATCTCCTTGCGCGAGTTGATGTCGGCATCGTCGCCCGGGATCCCGTCCTGGGGGTCGACTTTCAGGGACTTGGCGACCCCCTCGGGACCACCGAGCTTCTCCAGGATGTGAACATCGTCTTTTTCCATCATGCGCGCGAGCTGCTTGTCGGAGACGCCGAAGCCGCCCTTCTTCTCGCCCTCAGACAAGTCAGTCTCCTTGGCAGAGAGGTCCACATCGTCCTTCTCCTTCCTGCGAAAGGGAATTGGTGCCTTAACAGAGAGTCCGTCGACCAGCAAGCGCTGCAAAACTTTTCCAGGGAGGTTCTGATTGTCCACATGGTTTTCAGCGAGAGGGCAATGTCCTGCTCTTTTGGAAAAGTAGGTCGAAACAAACATTGGTATTTGAAGAAGGTGCAATGAACGGGTTTTGAGAGCGCATTTCCTGACCGCATCAAAAATTTGATGCCTCTGCGACATATATGATGAAGAGGCTGGAACAAAGGACACGGTCAGAGTCATTGGGCCGTGCAGCCATTCTTGGATGTAATGTGTGCTTAATCCTCAGACGGAACTTGCCACACGGTCGCAAGCCGCACAAAGAGTAGGCTTCTGTCAGTTGAAGAACAATCTGGAGAACAATTGAACAACAAAATGTGTTCCAAAGCGTCGAGCTTTGGAAAACAATCTGGTGAGGTTCTGGTTCTGTGACCTGTCATTCTGACTGTACAATCAGCATCAGGGCCCTGCTGAACAAAACCTCAGTGCTTGGATCGAAAAAATGTTGTTCAAAGAGGCCACTTTCATGTGCCCTCCTTCATCTTCACAATGTGCTGATGTGCTGCAAGCTTCAGGTCAGCGACATCATTTAAGAAAGGTTCGTGTGTGCCCCATCTTCAAATTATCTAATTAAGGATAAGTACAGTCTATGGAATAAAACCTACATCAGGCTACAAACTCTTCATGGTGCTGAGGCAGGAAGGCGAACAAGGGCACACACACATTACAGCCCTCTGACAGTTGGCAGAGAAAATCCCCTGATGCAATTTCAAAACTAGGATGAACCTGAACAACATTCTCCACGAAATTTCCAAGCACATCACAAGCATTTGCAAGCGCAGTTGCTGAAGAACTCACGAAACAAATGAAGAGTCGCCCGCAGACATACTCTTAACCCTCAATTCCTTTGTGTCCAGGGAGCAATGGACAAGCAAGTGGGACTTCATTGTGGTAATAAAGGACCATCACAGACATATCTCCTGTCAAGTGGC